CTTGCACCCAGCAGGACATCTCAGATCAGGTCCTGGAGAGAAAAGTCATCCCATCTTTGCAGGAAAAATAGGGCTGGCTACCTCAGCCGGGACTTGCTGGCCAAGGCTCCCTCTGCTTACTGACAAATGGGCACAGAAGGCAGGAGAGCAATACCAGGGCTCTGCAATCTGCTCTGGCTGCCTGCTGGTCTCCATGTGGAATAGGAGACATCGCTCGTGACACAGAAAGCCCTGGCTGTCCTGGTCTTGTCCCATCCCTGCATTGCTGTTGCTGTCAAAAGTGGAACTGGAGCTCGGTCAGTACCTGCACAGCATTTGTCAGACACTAGAATTTAATCCTGGCCCATGATAAACCAAACTGAACGTCAAAACAGTGAGCTTCCACTGCACCAGAACAAAAACAGCTTCAGCAAGAACCTGGGAGAACACTGCAAGTTTCCAAACAGCAAGGGAGTGGGAATGAGTCCCTGCAGGCATTGCTCAGAGCGGCCGAGTCCCTGGTGGGATGATTTGCTCAACACTGCTGAGATGCCAGCGACTGCCACAGCATAGCTGGCATCTCTCTGTACACTGTAGAATTAAACCAGGGGCAGGAAGGAGCCAAGAGCATCAGGCCGATGCCATTTCTTCTTTTACAACCCAAACAGATGAGGGTGCAGCACAGAAGCCCCCTGTGCTGGGGATGATGCCCTGCCATGCTCCAGGAAAGCACTCGGCGATGCACCAAGATGCTGACAAAGGCATCCTGGGGCGTGTTCAGAGGAGTGTGGCCAGCAGGGTGAGGGAGGTTCTCCTCCCCCTCTACTCTGCCCACTGAGACCCCATCTGGAGCACCAAGTCCAGTTCTGGGCTCCTCAGCTCAAGAAGGATGAGGAACTACTGGAGAGAGTCCCAAGGAAGGCTACAAAGATGATGAGGGGACTGGAGCATCTCCCCTACAAGGAAAGGCTGAGGGAGCTGGGCTTGTTCAGCCTGGAGAAGAGAAGGCTGAGAGGGGATCTCATCAACACGTACAAATACCTTAAAGGTGGGTGTCATGAGGATAGAGCCAGACTCTTCTCAGTGGTGCCCAGCGCCAGGACAAAGGGCAATGGGCACAAACTGAAGCAGAAGAGGTTCCAGTTGAACGGGAGGAAGAACTTCTTGACTTTGAGGGTGACCAAGCCCTGGCCCAGGCTTCCCAGGGGGGCTGTGGAGTCTCCTTCTCTGGAGATATTCAAAGCCCTCCTGGACGATGTCCTGTGCACCCTGCTCTGGGTGAGCCTGCTTGAGCAGGGGGGTTGGGCTGGATGGTCTCCAAAGGGCCCTGCCAACCCCTGCCATGCTGGGATTCTGTGACAAGGGACATATCCCCCTCCATCTGCAGAGCTGCTGATCCCAAGGCACAGTCCAACAAGACTCCTGTAAGGCACCAGAGGAAATGAGCCTACGGACTAGCAATAAACCCCATCCTTTCATATGCATCAGCACCGCTCTCTGGAACAATCCTAATGCAGCACTGCTACTGGAGCCTGGCACTCCTATCCTTGCTCCCAGGAAAACTTGTACCAGCAGTTAATAGACTCGGTCTCTTGAGCTCCTGATATGAAATCACCATTCTGCAGGATTCGATGTATTTGGTTGGAAACTTTTGGCAGTACGTCCACATATATTGCCCGTATTATTGGTGAAGCCGTAAGCCAGATCGTTTGACTCCAGAGGTGGAGGGCAAGAAGAAACCATCCATTACACTTTATTCTACTGTTCCACAGCTAAACCAAATTCTTTAAAGAAATAACTATTCTGGGAAATTTCTGTCATTTCTCCCTTCTTTACTGCTGTATGTCAGACTATGAAACTAGAAAATATTGCGAGTTATTTCTCCTGGGAAATTAAAATAGGCTGTTGAAGAGGTTGCTGGTTACAAGGATATGCTTCATTACCCACCCTTGCAGGCTACGGCTACAGGCATATGAGCCTCAGGAGCCAGCGGTCTGCCTGGGCTAGCACGTTCTCTACAGGACGGCAGTGGAGTTGGAGCATGGAAAACGACCGTGGATGCTAACTGGGACAGAGATAAAACTACGCAGCGCTGCGAACATGATATTGCAGCACTTCTGGCTTAATGTCAGCCTCAGACAGGCTGCAACTGGCAGGTGGCATAAAATACAGACAGTGGATGTATGGGGATACAGCACAGAAACTCCAGCTGTTGTACCCTGGCTTTGCTACAGTGTAAAGCAACGGGATACAGGAGGGGATGGCACACCGTGACTCACGGCGACAGAAGTGATCTCTATGCATGTATGTACGGGTGGGCTCTTGCAGATCCCATTTTCCCTCCCTCTGCCCCTAAATAACGAGAATCTGCTAGATCTCTACCAGCCTGAATAAGAAAAAGACCATCTTGACAAGTTGGGCACAGCCAACCACTGGCCAAATCCCCTACTTTGTTTTGCAGAGGGGGAAGGCGATGCACGGAAAGGAAACCACTGCTCAAAGCGGACATAAAGCCAAAGACAGAGTTGGCGACACAAGTACCAAAATGACACCCAAAGTGCATCCTGCTAGTTCAGGGCACTTAGGAGCAAGGGTAACATCTGCTTCTTTCCATAAATAACTGAACCCACAGTGAGCTGTGGGATGGACCATGGCTCCCACTGGAGCTGGTGCCTTCTGCCAAAAACCAAAGTGTTCTGCAGTAGCCTTTCATTTGGATGGGGACCAGCTCGATTCCCCAATGAGGTGGAGATTTTCAGGAAGAAACAATGCTGCTACCTCCTGACCCAACCCTCTGGATCAACAACGGTAGTGATTTCATAACCTGGACATCCTGAAGACCACCTCCATCATCTCAGAATTACATGTGGCACTGAGGAGCCACTACCAGGTAATGACAGGACAGGGATGGCTCATCAAGGTCAGTGTAGTGGTAATAAATCCTTGTCCTCCCTTTCCTCTGGTTTCCATTTCCAAGGAGTCAGCTCCCACGTGTCTGCAATGTGACTTCCAGCTAAGCTGTGGTGGGGAGGATGCGGCAAAAAGCAAGGTCTTTGTCCGTTGGTAGCCACCTGGGCTTCTATTGCAGCTGCTTCTGCTGACATATCATGTGTATTTGCAAAAATAAATTAAACCAAATTTGAGATGAGCTCAGAAAGTCAGAGTTGCATAACAGCTTGTTTCCCACAGGCTTGGACGGCTGCTCAAAATGTTCATGGTCACATGGTCACTCCAAAAATCACTGCCTCCTCTTTTTTGTTGCTATTTTCATCAGAGAGTTAACCCTATACAGACTGAAGTGACCTGCTGCGGCTTCTACAGATGGCAACACCTGAAAAAAACAGCAGGTAATGGTCCAGTGCCACAGCAAAGCTTGAGCACAAACCCTGCAAAGCCCCCCTGCCCAGAAAGCATTTCTAAGACTGTTATCCCTCCATCAGCTTCCTAACCTCCAGAAGCAATTGCTTCCTCCAGTCACTTGTTACAAGGGTTTGATTATTTCTGTAGGGTGCTCTTGGACACAACAGGTGATAGGTAGGAAGAGAGAATAATGGAATTAATGGACATCAAAAGATTGATAATGCTGGCCAAGACAGAAGGGGAGAGACTCATGTAGCAGCCCACTTCTGTTCAGCCCTGGAGCAAACAGTGTAACATTAACACAGCCATTTAGGAAAGGTTTCCACACAAGACTTGAGGCCAGCCTGCTCTTCATGTGTGTACATCTCTACCCAAAGGGGCCAGGGCTCCCACGCCCAGAGGGGTCAGGGCTCAGCACCGTGGGCAGCCAGACCTCTGGACCTCACCTTAACACACTTCAGGAGCTCCAGGGCAGGTTAAGCTAGTTGCAGAGACGTAGTCCAACTGTTCGGAAGCAGGAGCCCTGGGACATGCTCCAAAATAAGCTCTAATGCACCCACGGGATGCTCTTAACACTCAGCAGATCAGCTCCCACTCTCTACAATACTCCTCACCGCTCTGACAATCTCTGGGTCACACCGTGCTGCTGTCAGCTACAGCAGTGTGGAACTAGTGGCTCTCAGCCTTGTATGGGCTATAGGAGCCACAAAGAGAACATCAACCCCTTCCTTGTAAAATAAAAAAAAAAAATAATATTAGTTTCACCTATTTTAAAAGGAAAGAAGAGGTTGAGCTTATTCTTAGGTTTACTCCAAGATGAGAAGGGATTTTGCAGCACTCAGACAGCCGACGTTCTTCGTCTCAGACCACACAAATACTCAGAAGCAGAGCTCTGGTTGATTGAGGGATGTGGGGTTTTGCTCCCGTAAACAGAAAAGCAAAAAGAAAATTTCTGTACTTACACGCAATACAACTCAAAAAGCCCACTGAAACCTGCCAGGCTCACAGATGACACTGGAAGGGAGATCCACAGAATCACAGAATCGTTTAGGTTGGAAAAGACCTCTAAGATCATCAAGTCCAACCATTAACGTAACCCTGCCATCCCACCACTAAACCACGTCCCCAAGAAACGCATCTACCCAGCTTTTAAATATCCTCAGGGATGGGGACTCAACCCCTTCCCTGGGCAGCCCCTTCCAGTACTTGACAGCCCTTTCATTGAAAAAATTTTTCCTAATGTCTAACCTAAGTCCAGGTTGTATGAAGGGATTGGTATTTCCATGATTAAACTTGGGCTGAATTGGGCCTCCTTTCCCCAGAGGACCATTTCATTCTTCAGGTCAAGATGTGACCCGGCAATGCTTGAATATCCTTTGCAAATCCCCACGCAGTATGCGTAAGGTGTGCCCTTACCTATGATAACTGACGCCTCCAAATGCTGTAAGGACACTTATTTATAGCCCTCACAGCAGCTCTGCTTTAGGCAGGCTCTCGCTGTGGCTCAGGAGCCCACAGATCAGAAATGCTTTTTGCAAAAAGCTCTAACAGCCTCATCAGAAACCTGATGTTTTCTCTCTTTACACATCAAGCAGGGACCTGCCAAGTGACCTCAATTCACCAAAGAGGAGGAGGAAGGGAGGTTCTCAGCTATCGCTTACCACTGGTTCAATGGTGAAGATATCATCAGAGAAAAGCATGGAGTCTCCTTGCACCTTCGCCCTCTGGTTCTGGAAGGTGCGGGAGAGAAGGGAAAGGCGTTCTCGGAGAGCGGGGTCCACCGCGCACTCCTTGAGAAAATAATCCATCTCGTCCTCTTCCTGCCTCCGCAGCCTGCGACACAGCCTGCAGCCGCGGGGAAGAGACAAACCAAGCAGATAATTTAATAAGCAACACATTTGCAGCGACTGTCGTGTAAGCGCAGGGGCAGCAGCACACGCAGGGAGGAAGAGCAGCAGGGGCTCCGCAAGGGGCTGACCCCGAGCCACGGGGTCCCAGTTGGATCAGATTATCACTTGTTCGCTGTCATGGCAGGTAAGGTTACTCCACGCTTATCAGCTAAGAAGGAGTTTGGGTTTTTTTGAAAGGTGGCAGCCCTCAAGAGAGCAACCTGGCCCAAAGCCACCACCACGACCAATGGAGAATCCGCCAACCACCTCAGCTGGCTTTTTCCTACCATAGAGCTGCTCATGGGAGGCAGGTAAAGATCAAGGAGCACCCACTGCAGTGCTTCACTGGGAAGGGGAGAAGAAACTGGGTTTCAGCTGCAGGTTACTAGCATCACTTTTTTTTTCTTCCCTTTTGGACCTCTGGAGAGGGAGATAAGCAAACACTATCTGCTCTCTGTTCCCTATACTGCCTTCCACCAGAGGATCCCAGAGCACTTTAAAAGCCAACTGATGAATTCAGGCATCACACGACCTCAGTGAAATTAATGGTTTGATATACATGAAAACCAGGGCCCTGAGAGAGGAAGGGACTTTGCTTAGCATCGCCCAATAAAGAAGTCAGGACCGTCACCTCTACATCCAAACCCTTAAGTCTTATGGCCTCAAGTTGTGCCACGGGAGGTTCAGGTTGGACATTGGGAAAAATTCCTTCCCCACAAGGGCTGTCAAGCACTGGAAGGGGCTGCCCAGGGAAGGGGTCGAGTCCCTGTCCCTGGGGGGATTTAAAAGCCAGGCAGACGAGGTGCTTAGGGCCAGTGGTGGGCTGGCAGGGTTAGAGGAATGGTTGGGCTTGGGGATCTTAAAGGGCTTTTCCAACCTCAACGATTCTATGGTTCTAACCTTGAACCCCCTTATCTTTCTCCTTTTTGGCCTTCTCTGCAGGGCTTTGACACGGTTAATCTCTCCCTTCCTTGGTAGTCATAGCAGAAATCATTCTAGTGTTTAAAAATCACAACCAAGAGATGAGAACTACAGAGCAGTCACTTCCTAGCTGGCCCATTGCTGTCCCCTTCACGGTCCAGTCCCCTGGCCCTGAAGAACCAGCAGGTGACAACTCTTAGGGAATGAGTGGAAGGGTCCATACGCAGCAAATCGAGGCAGTGCAGTTTAAACAGGACAGCGATCATCACCCAGCTGAATTCAAATACAATTAGAAAGGAAATACAGTCATGGCCATTACTAGCTGCACACAGACAGAGCCTCAGGCAAATGCTGTCACCAGAGCCAAAAATACTTGCTTTGGCTCGCTCCCCGTAGAGTGCAATAGGAAATGTTTCTCCCTGGCTGACCTACAATACTGGGCATTAAAGGGGCTTCCAGCCAATGAGATGAACAACCTTCAATGCAACCTCCATCAACAATAATTCCACCATTACATCCCCAAAAGTCCTGCAGGAGGGAGACAGAGCAAACCCCTGGACAGACCTTCTAACAATCCAGGTCTTTTTGGGTCGCATCCCAGTGCAGGGTCCCGCTCTGCCTTCTCCCCTGAAAAAGTCTTCCCTTCTCCAAGACCTCAAAAGCTTCTCTGACATCACAACAGTGACCTTTGAGCTCTGCCCATCCCTACGATTGCAAGTAAGGAAGAACAAAACGTCCTGGTTTATGTCTAGGACACAAACTGGCATGAGAACAAATAAAACTGGAAAAAAATTAGGTTGAAGTCTACTGTGGGGAAACTCGGTCACTTCTGAGGGGAAGGAGGCTCACTCAGGGTCCAGTCTGAGACAGGCGGGTGGGAAGAGATGGTAAAGGAATGGTTCAGGGAAGTAACAAGAGAAGGTCGTGAGCTTTTAACACACTGAGCTTGCACAGAAGTCACACACTGTGTAATTAAAAATAGAGAACAGTGGAAAACTAGTTTTGACCTTCAAGGCATTTCTGACCTAATTACGTTGAACTTTATTTGCTCGTAAGCCTTTAAAAAGTGCTCCAGTTTCAGGCAGTCCCCTGATCAGCTATGGGTTCAGACTAACTCCCGATGTTCCTACATCCACCGAAGTCTGAAAAGTCACACAAGGATTCCTGAAATCACGTGAGCTTTTATGTGTGATTTCCAATTCACCCCTCCAGGCTGTGTGTGTTTCTCTGATGGCAATTTCAAAGCTTCACGGAAGACACCCTTTGAAGATCCTGCCTCATCTCTCACTGCCACGAAGACACAGGTTGCTGAAGCCTAAATCCAATTCCAGGTCCTGTGCAGCCCTAACCTTCCCTGCAGTACCCTCCACCCCCAAACACTCCCCAGCCCCTAAGGAAGGGCAGAAATACCTTGTCATGCTGGAAATCAGGACGGTGCAAGGCGATTCAACACCCCACAGCAGGGTGGCCTCAACTTTCCAGGCCAATGAAGCACTCTACCCTGCACATTGCTGGAGGAGTCTGCTATCTGATCAAGGCTGGAGTGGAAGGAACTGCAGTGACTATTGTCATAGTTATGTTACCTGCAGCTACATGAAGTCCCAGGTAATGAGTGCTGACACTTTCCTCAGCCTCACGGACGCCCTGTAGCCCCAGGATCTCTGGGCCTCAGTGGTTTGTGCTCCCACAAAACAGGAATTTGCTATTTAGTCATTGGAACGACCCTTTCCTCGCCAAATCATCATCCTCAGCTCGAGTATGGGTGGAACTGGAATGGGAAATGCCGAGGTCTGCTACCTTCGGGGTACCTCGGTGACGCATATCCTGACACCGTGGATGGTTTACTTGTCCTAAACCATTCAAAAAGCACCAACACCCCTCTGAGGCCACACGTTAGCTTTACCCTTGGGCGATGTATCTTGCTGAAATTAATCTTTCAAACAAACCTCAGCTTCTGATGATCCTCCTCTTCCTGAGTAACAAAAGCCTTCCACTGGAAGTGGGCTATGATTTCACTCCGATTGTGGATGACCACGGATCGGTGGTTTGACAGCGTGAGGTACATCTTCTCCACTGTCAAGGAGTTCCTATCTAGCCTGATGTTGACATCTACAGCTGCTCCATAAAGGCTTGTGTGAACATCTTCACCTGGAAGAAAGCAAAGGGGAGTCTTTGCTCATCTCACTTGCTGATGGAAGAACAAGGAACAGAGCAAACCACAGGGAACAGAAGAAAGCATTACAGCTTTTAGTCCTATTAGCAGTTCCACAGACCAGTACGTTTATCACACCCTGACAGGTGCATGGGTACGGCATGAGGATGTCCTGGACACCACTTTAAGCACCTTATTTCTGGATGTGTTTATAGAGCTTTATCCCCATGGTATTTACAGTGAGATCTTTCAGGGGTGGCCAGGTGGCCTTTGGGTTGCCATCTCACTCGAGTCACAGGGAATTCTGCACTGAAGTCCTCCAGGTGACTCTGAGGAGTCCCACTGCAGTCACAGCTTGCCCAGCGTCTCCTGCAACCACACCACCCATGCTGCGTCCCTCCCCATCCTTTGCTGCTGACATGCAAAGATGCCTGGGGGCACACAGGCAGCAAAAGGAGGTTCTGAGGAACAAGTGAAGTGACAGCCCCCGGCAGGATGGGATGCAGAAGAGAACTTCACTGCATGGTAGAAGCGGTGCCCTTGCTGTGGGGTTGCGAAGATACGTCAAAATGAGACTGGTGGGGCATGGCCCACACCAACCTGCCCATTACAGCCCTGCAAGGCCATTTCTTCAGCCTGGATCCTGTTGCCTGTGCCCGAGTGTGCAAGTCTACACTGGCTATTCCCAAGCTATTCAACGACCCAAGCAAGGACATCTTTGCTTCCCACCTCAGACCGAGCTGAAGAGGAGAAAGGCCCTGGCTGTGTACATCAACCAATTAATGACTGGAGTCTTGCTGGAATACCTGCCACCACGTCACCCTCCAGAACAGACTCCCACCAAAGGCTCCCTCATTTCCAGAGCTTTCAAACCTTCGTTCTTCCCAACCAAGTAACTCCTGGGAGTCAACCGAGCTCAAACTTTAGTACCAAGCCTACTTTTCCTGTCGTGGGTGAGCGTTTCCCCGGGTGAGATGCAAAGAGCAAACATCAGATATGTTCTCTAGAAATGGCATTTCTATGGAGTGGTGCTTAAAGCCTCAGAGCCAGCCCCAACTGACAAGTGTGGCAACCCGGCCATATCCTGGAAAGCATCCCCCCTGCGAAGGCAGAGCCTTCTCCTCCCTGCATGGCTTACAGCAAAGGCAGCCAGTGGCTGGGCTTGCCTTTAAAAAGCTACCATGCAACACCTGAAGGAGAGTGCTGGATGTGTGCTGGATGGACTCCATAAATCCTGAGCCAGACAACACAGCGGAATCACATTCATTCTGGGAGGGGGGCTGGGGAAGGAAGCAAGAGTCACCCCTAAACCAGCAGAGCTCTACAGTCATTCAGTCATTCATTTCCACACATGGAGAATTCAGCCTTCGTGCCTGTATAACCCTCAATCTCTTTGCTCTTAAGGGAGTCTGGAGCAATAGGGCTTTGAGGCCAGAGGTGAGTTACGTTGTGAGAAAAACGGGAATGTTTCCAGCGACTGGACAATCTGTTTCCTATGATGGACAATTTACCATAAAAATAACTGACGTTCAGAAGAGCTACAGAGGCAGAAATGCTTTATAAGCATCTCCCTTCCCCTCCGCTGAATCTTCAGCATACACTGGCAAGCAAAGAAGCCAGGACCCAAAAAACAGGAGACACCCATGATGCTTCAAGTATGTACAATGCAGGTTTACGGAAACACGAGCTAACGGTCAAGACTACAAACTACAACAAAATAAACACCATGAAAGCTCTCATCATCTCACTTGTCTAAAACCACAGCCACGTGGGTCTTGAAATACTGGGTACAGTTCTGATCTCAAAAAACAAATTGAAGCATCTGAAATGAAATAGAGAAGTGCAGAAAGTCCAATTAAAAGCATGGAGCAGCTTCTATATGAAGACCGAACAGGATTCCTCAAGCTAGAAATCAGATGGGAGATAGATGGGAGAGAACTATAAAAGCATGAATAGCTCGGGAAATGTGAATAAGGAAAAAATTTGTCAGGATTTGTCATAAAACAGGAACCCGAGGGCCTGAAATAATGTTATTAGTCAGAAATTACACAAAAGTAGCAGTACTTGTCCAGGGAATACTCCTTCCTTTGGACTGTGCTGCCATAGGAGGCTGTAGATGCTAACAGCTATAAACCCCGAAAGCGACTGGGAAAACTCTTGGAAGATAAAACCATCAGAACAAAGATGAGACTAAAACCTCCAGCACAGAAGAACAGTAACTCCAGAGGCCACGGGGGAGGAAAAGCCTATGTACTGCCCATTTCTACATGCTTTGTAAAACATCCCCTTATTGCCGCTCTCCTGGGCAGGCGCTGGGGACGCAGCCACCCCATGGTCCTGGCTGCAAGCACCGAGGACTCTTTTGAAGGCTGGAGGGTTTGCCAAAACACCATCTACCACAGAGAGAAGTATCTGGCATCGTGCTGAATAAATAAACCCAAAAATCGCTCGGTAGAGCATGCACAGATGCCAGCGAGTCAGGAGGAAGGCGCAGATCCATCTGCCAGGTAGATGAACTGACACAGCGAGCGGAGCCAGCAGGGTTGGCCAAGGGCAACTGCAGACTTCATGTCTCGGGTACCAAATTGTATGTGACATTTCATTTAAGGCTCTTGGTTGTTTAATATATAAGTTTTTTTTAAAAAAAATCTCTGTACTGTAACAGTGATGTAGCACTAGGCATTGCACTTGACAGGGTAATGTCCACAGTGAGCAGCTTGGGATGCTTCGCTGCTAAGAAAGCACGTTTACTGAATCTAGATGTATCTGCCCCATCATTATTTACACAACACGATCCTATTACAGGCTGTCAATTCTCTCATTCTTACACATTTCTGATATATCTCCTACAGATGGCAAGAGACAGCCTCTCACTCTGCAACCCGAACAAAGCCATGCCCGAACTCGAAATTAAAAGCTGGACTTTTTATGGACCGGTAGAGCAGATGCTTTGGGTTGTGTACTCCTGAACAATGTTCTTTGACACAGCAAAAACAGCGTTGCATTTCATAATCATAGAGTCTTCTAGGTTGGAGAAGACCTTTAAGCTCACCAAGCACAACTGTTCCCCTAGCCCTGCCATCCCACCACTAAACCCTGGCACTAAGCACCTCCTCTGCCCAGCTTTTAAATACCCCCAAGGATGGGGACTCAACCCCTTCCATGGGCAGCCCCTTCCATGGGCAGCCCCTTTCCTGGGCA